TCTACCCGAGAAAACACTAGAGAGCTGAGAAAACTGTACGGCTTCTTGAGAGATTGAAGAAGCAAGCCTCGAAATTTGTTAGATGAGTTTCTTTTTTGCCCTTCCAGAGTTTGCTTGCTTGCATTATAAACCGCCTTCTCCTCTTTCTCCCTTTTTATTTATTTTTTCTTTTTCGGTAATTACACAAAATAAAAAATTATTTCATTTTATTATTTTGATATTAAAAAAAATAAAATAAAAAAAAAATCAAAGGTGGAAGCTCCCTTGGCCCATTGGTTGACTAAGGGTTGATTAATGTTTCTACACCAAGAGGTCTAGGGTTCGAATCCCAGATATCGCAATTTATTATCAAATTTGCAGATTAATGGAGGCAGTGTGCAGGAGATCTCCACCGATGTACAATTATAGCCGTTCGCCAGGATTCTACGCAGAGAAGGAAGTGTCGTCAGGTCGTGGATCATTGAAGGTATTCATCAAGATTATGAAGAAGGAAGTGTAGTCTGTCGTGGATCTAGTAAGGGTCGGAAGGAATTGTCAGTTGTAGAATCGTCTATGTAACAGTTCTCATAACAAAGATATGGAATGCTATAAGGCTCCATATTCTATAACAATTAAGGAATATGCTTCGGCCAACTTCTTCTTAATAAGGCCCATTCCTTTGCGCTTCAAAATGTTCCAACTTCTATGTATGTATGTAGGTAGTAGATAAGCAAAATCTTATAAGTAAGGAATGTTATATGTAATGTGAATATTATTAACTAGGGGCATATGTAGTTGGCCAATTGGGATACTTGTTTCATGCTTAAAATGAGCTTATATGTAACCAACCACGATTAAAAAAAACATGGCCTGAATAAGCTCATTTTAAGATGCTCATATATATCTTATCTATAATACAATGGGATATTGTTGTGAAAGGTTTGGAAAAGGAAAGAGGGAATTGCAATTTTTTTTTGGATGAGACTGAAAGAGGATCCATGTTCTGTGTTAGTCTAAATTGTTCGTGATTTAAAGAAAAAATAAGGGGAAAGAGAAATCATTTTATTATTAATATTCACAAATAATTCAATTTGAAAACTAAACTTTTAAAGTGTTAATTATGATATTAGATACTAAATTATTTTCTTTATAATTTATTTGACTAATTAAAATTTATGGAATTGTTGGAACTTAGAACCAAATTTCCCTTTAATTTATGTGTGCATTTTAACTTTAGTTTTGTAATAGAAGAAAACTTCATATTATAAACAAGAATGGCCAACATAAATTTTATTCATGAAAGATAACAATAGATTTTATTTTGACTTCATATATAAATTTTTGTTATCATGGACATTTTGGTCCACCTTCTTTGGTCCTCCAATTATCGTAGCAAGGACATTCTTCTTTGTGTCCATATGTTCCCGACGGTACACATAAACATTTGCTACAACATTTGTTGCAGTAAAACAAACATGGTTTCTTGTGAGATGTCGCTGAACATCGAATTTCACATGCCTTTGGACATTCTTCAAAAAAAAATATAGAACAACATTAATTAAATTATTTAAGTTATGATTTGATAAATCATTGACTACATAAAGAAAAAACAAATTTTTTTTTAAGAATTTACCTTCAGGTCGAAGTGAGCCTTCTCCTCCCGTCTGAAATTGGTTGGATAACGTAAATAAATTTGGAATGGAAATCAATGGATACAATAAAATTATACATTTTTAATAAAAATATACTAAAATTATCTAGTTTGAAAATAAAAATAATAAATATATCAAATGTTTGTGTATGTAATATTCTTGTTTGTATTATATTTATTATTCATTATTTGATATTTTTAATTAAAATATACCTTGTGGATTGCTGGTGCTTCAGCTGGACTCTCTAATTCCTCACCCTATACACACACAGAACAAAAATTGAAGAACATTTAATTTCGATGAATTCATAAACCAGAAGCTTAAAAACAAATATTTAACTTTTACATTAGAAAATTGAGTAGAAAACAACAAACTGGATACAACAAAGAAAACTATGAGCTTCATCATTTTATTCTCTTTCCTTTCACTTTTGATATTTTTTATAATAAATTTGAGGGTCAATGTTAAATCTATTTATAAACAATAACATTGGCATAATATAGAAGGTATTTTAAGATATCATGAAATTGTCAAATATAAAACATTTACTATATGTTGACACTAGAGCATTAATTATTCAAACATGTGTTTTCTTGACTAAAATAATTTTGGAAATAAAATAATGTATTTTGAAATTTTTTTTTGAAATTGCTAGAAATACTCATTCTTTGATACTCCTTTTAAAAAATATCCTCTTTTCTAATCATTTTCATTTATGCCCTCTTTCAATTTTTTTTTTGTCAAAGAAACCCCCTTTCAAATTTTTAATGACCATTTTACCCCTATTTGAAAAAAATTAAGACAACAAAATGACATAAATTAATTTTCCCGAAAATATTTCCGACAAAAGTTTCCCGCCAAAAAAAAATTCCGACAAAAAATTTTCCCGCCAAAAAAATTTCCAACAAAAATTCCCGCCAAATTTTTTTTTGTTTAAATAATATATGGATTTACAAAGATTTTATAAGGGTTTACAAGGGTTTAAAAGGAATTACAAGGATTTTAAAAGATTTACAAAGGTTTTTCAAGGGTTTTAAAAGGATTTACAAGTGTTTTGAAAGAATTTTAAAAAGGTTTATAAGTGTTTTTAAAGGATCTTAAAAAGATTTACAAGGATTTTAAAAGGATTTTATTAGTGGTTTTAAAAGGTTTGAAAGGGTTTACAAGGTTTTTAAAGATTTACAAGGGGTTTTAAAGAGTTTTTAAAAGGATATATAAGTGTTTTGAAAGGATTTTAAAAAGGTTTATAAGTGTTTTAAAATTATTATAAAAGGATTTACAAGGATTTTAAAAGGATTTTATAAGGGTTTACAAGGTTTTTAAAGATTTACTAGGGTTTTTAATGGTTTTTAAAAGGATTTACAAGTGTTTTCAAAAGGGTTTAAAAAGATTTATAGGGGGTTTTTAAGGGTTTTGAAAGGATTTACAAGTGTTTTCCAAAGGTTTTTAAAAGATTTATAAGGGGTTTGAAAGCAATTTAAATGAATTATAAGGGTTTTAAAAAGAGTTTATAAGTGTTAAGATTTTAAAGAGTTTTAAAGGTTTAAAAGGGTTTTAAAAATTTTTACAAAAGTTTTTATAGGGTTTATAATGATTTTAGAAGGATTTTATAAGAGTTTTAGAAAGATTTACAATGGTTTTCAAAAGATTTTGTAAGGTTAATACATAAGTATGGAATCCCATGAGAAGTGTAGGTTAATACATAAGTATCGAATCCCATGAGAACAAAAAAAATATTTACACACCAAACTCAAGTTTGGTTACTGAATTCCAAGAAACTAAAAAGGATTCATCTATCAAACTTATGAGATCTCACAACTTAATCTAGACTAGATTCGATTTATGGTTTCCTTATTTTCCTAAATTACTGAAGAAAATATTTAAACAAGAAACTAAAATTAAACAAGTGAATAAGCAAGAAGAGTAGAAAAAAAATTTAGTTACCAATTAGACGATAATTAAAACATCCAATCGATTACAGTAATACTAAAATAGCATGAATCAATTATTAAAATGGTGCAAGCGTCTAACTAAACATAGTCCTAAAGCATACATCAGTAAGCTACAACTAATCTTTTAAGGCACTAATCAACTTGAATTATCTAAATTTGCTAAAATCTCATTTGAAAATAGAATAATTAGCATCCATAGCAGTAAACTCCATTGAACTCACAAAACATCTTCACATCAATTCTTATTATAGCTAATGAAAAAAATGCTCAATTAATGTCGGTTCAAATTTTTTCACAAACATCTTAAGTGCAATAAGCCAATCTAAATTCATCAAGTATTGTCTAACATTAAACACAATCTAACAAGATTCAACACTAAACATCAACATTTAGACATCAATTCGTTCCAATCTAACATTAAGATTCAATACAAACTACTCACACTCACGGTCACAATTTTTTTTTTTTTTTCAAAGTCACATTTAGGCCTGGGCATTCGGATTTCGGATCAGATTTTTCCGGATTCGGATAATTCGGGTAGGAGAGTTTATTATCCGTCCGGATTTTATGACTTTTCGGTTCGGATAGGGTTGGATACGGATCGGTTTCGATCGATTTTCAGGAAAAAGGAAGAAGTTAAAATTTGGTTAAATTTTGCGAAAATGTATAATTTTAATAAATACAACTAAATTTTTTTGGATTTCTAAATTATTTCGGATATCTTTGTTATTTAGTATTTTTGAGTATAAAATTATAACTAAATATAACTAATATTTTTGAATTTATAATTTTATTTTAGATTTCGGATATTCTTTCGGTTTTTGCTTCGGATCTGGTTCGTTTCGGATAATTTGGATAGAAAAATTCATAATTTGTAACTCTTTGGTTCGGTTTCGGATCGGTTTTCGGATTTCAGATTTTATGCCTAGACATAGTCACAGTCACAGATAAATAGCTAAAAATATTAGAAATTATTATTGTTGAATTTATTGACTCAAAAATTTAAAGATCGAAGTATTTATTATTCATATCAAAAAGAACTAAAAAATATTAGAACGAACGAAGAAGATTGATTGGCCCACGTAGGATCACACGCGCCCGCGAGTGTAGAAAACGTACGAAATTTATGAACATTAAATAATAAATTCGAAATTTGATGCCATTTCAAAATCGAAGCTCACACACACATCTCTCGCAAAAGCTCTTTTGGGATTTTTCAAATTTGAAAACAAAAGACTCAGAGACTCAGACCCACCACCACCATCACCAACATCTCTTTCTCTCTCACTTTCTCGAGAAAATATTTTCCCTCCTCATTGAGTATTATGTTGTAGGTAGGTTCCTCCATCGCTGTTCCTTTTTTACCACCAATAAAATTCAAATTACGACATTAGAGAAACGCTTCATAATTGCTATAAAATTCGCGACGGATCGGCTTGTTGAGTAGAGAGCCATGGGTTGTCTCTTCGGTTGCTTTCGTGCTAGAGACGAAGACCAATATACGAATGATTCCGTCTCTCAAGCCAAATCCAACGTAATTCTCATCGTTTCCTTCTGTTTTCCAGATCCTCAGAAGTAGAATCACTTGTGAACATTCTCAATTCTCAGTGTTAACATCTTTGTTTATTGATGATTTTCAGAGAGGTCATGAGTCGAAGAATCGTTTGTCAGCTTTGTTTCTATCTGAAGGTGATAAATCTCTTCTTTGATTTGATGTTATATCTCTTATGGTTTTAAACGAAGGTCTTACTTGTTTTTTTATTTGGTAGAGAACGCAGCTTCTTCGCCTTGTCATGATGACAGAGAGGGATCTAGTTTAAATTCTACGCATATTGACAAAGATCTGAAAGATGAGGTATGTTACTACAAATGACAAATCAAAGCTAAGAAATCTGTGAATCTAATCACTCACGATTAAGACTTTGTCTCCTTGAAATTAGTTAGCATTTTTCTGATTTTACGGGAATTCTCGGTTGATTATGTTTGCTCCTTATTTTGCTTTATATGTGATTCTTGAGCTAAAGCTCTTCTTGCGGAATTAGAAGAATTGTTCTGTGTTTTATGTTTTTTGATGAGGTTTGTCTAGACTCTATTACTTTGTTTCTTCTATCATGAATACATTGTACATTTCACAACCTTTGGCTTTGTTTTCTTTTTGTCTCTTTTCATCCTTATATATTTGATATTATTTTCCTCTGTTTTTGCTGTGCTTAGTTAATTCAGGTGTTGGGTTTAGAACTCAATTATTTATAAAGAACATATTCACAAAAATGCTTATTTGGATGAATGTAGCTTATGTATCCATGCATCACAATGCTTAATTTGCATTAGTCTCTGCATCTTTACTGAGGAAATTATCTGAAATTTGTGAGTTACTCTTCTCAAGTTAAAGATGACGCTTAGTACTTGGCAGATATCTTTGATTGCATATAAAACAGAATTTGATTGCCACTTACTTCAAATATGAGAACCTAACCTCACTTTGCTTTACTTGTGGAGTAACAGGCACAGTTTCTTAAAGTTTCCAGCGAGATACCAGCGACACCGATTGAAATTTGGAAAGCATCCAAAAAACTGGAAACCCCTCAAGGTGGTGAACATTTAGGATCTTCCCCTTCTTGGATTTCCAGTAACTCTGATGCAGTATTTCACTTGGATGAGAAAAAGAATGAGCCCTATGAAGAAATGGGAAGATCATTAGATACTTCAGAGAAAACTCCTAGCAGGTGAAACTGCTAATTGTTACTTTGCTAGATAAATATCTCTTTTAGCTAAGCTTTTGAAAAGTAAAATAATCTTAGTTCTCCTTCCAAATTTCGAGAACTCGCATGATTGCTTGCATATCCTAACATAAATTCTTACATCAGGCAAAAAGTTTTAGAGGTTTCATAGATCTGGGATTTAACTCCTTATCTTCTTTTGTCAATATCAGTTGCTTGACCAATGTCCGGAACAATGCAAGGATCTCTTCTGCATCTAGTGATGCTAGTGAAGAAAGCATTGGTACTGTGTTCAGGGATGAGGTAGATAGAACCGGCAAGGCGCCACTCAAAGCTGGAAATATTACAGAAAAGACAAAGTCAGTGTGGTCTGAAATTGACTTTGATCAATCTCACTCTTCTAGTTCTTCCAAAAACAGCACTTCAAGGAAACCTGAAATGGCTGGAAAAACTTTTATCTCAGCAACCTCGCCTAATCTGACCTCATTGAAGCTATGTGATACCCCTGGAACCATCTTGCCTGCAAATATGGAATCAGCAGGAAGAGGGAGACCTAGAATCAGGTCTCAGTTTGTGCATTCAGCTTCCAATCTAAAAGAAAATGCCTCCCTATGTAAGCTCCACGAAGATTCAAATGAGAGCCTAGAACAAGCTAAAGTTCAGGAAAATGAATCTCCCACATCAACAATTTGTGAGGAAAAGTTGGAAGAGAGTTCAGATGGAAAAAACCAGATAGGTGAAACTAGTAGTTCTCCTTGGATGAAGCAGAGTAAAAAGAAGAGTAACAAAAAAATGGAGACTTTATCCATAACTCCTGGAGACAGACCTATCATTGGAATGGTTGCAGCTCACTGGAATGAGAAAGAGCAATCTCAAATCTCACCCAAATGGTGGGATGGTAATGGGATACCAAACTCTACAAACAAGTACAAAGAGGTAGTCTCCTGTTTCTTTCAGAATCCCTAGGCTTCTTCACATTTCCTTTCATTTGTTATGAATACATGAGTTACTTTTTATATTGCAGGACCAGAAAGTGAGTTGGCACGCAACAACTTTCGAAGAGAGATTAGAGAAGGCACTTTCAGAAGAAGGTGGTCAAGGTTTCATTCCTCCAAGGTATATGTCTCTCTTTCCTTATGCAGTAGGATATATGCAAATAGAAATGCGTGAATGCTTATGTTTTTGTTAGATAACACATTCACACTGAAACTATTTTGGGATTTGAAGATATATAGTAACCAATGATGCATAAACATGTTAATTTGCAGGAGACTTGGAACAGTAGAAGAGTCTGAAAGGGACACAGCTATATCACATCTGCGACATTCGCCACAATCTATGTCAGTCGTTTCCTTTTGAACATCGAGTAGTGTCCACTGAGGTAATATACTCTTCTGATCTTGACTAGTCTGTACTTGAACAAATATTTTAACTAAAACTCGTACCAGAAATAAAAACATAAGAAAATGTATAGAGTACCTAGAAATCAACACAATATCTATCTCAACTCAAGAACTACAAAATGGAAGTACTTAAGATACTGATGGTTTAAGTCTACAGATTATGGGGAACACAATAACATATGTGAAATAGACATACTACCACATGTATTCTTGTAGTTTTATTGTAGAGATTCTCTAAGATTTGAATCCACCATTATTTTCAGATCCTGAAGTGGAGCAGTGGTGAGGTCCCATCGAGTCCTCTAGCCAAGTAATGTCTTGCCATCTCGGTCGTGGTTGTGTCTCTGTACTTGGGAGGGTTTTGTTCAGATAGAAGCTCTTTAATAGGTCCATATACTTGCTCATTTGGTATGGTGTGCATGAAGAAAGATGCGCTTGAAATGCGTGGTTCTTCGCCTCTATTTGCCAAAACCCTATGCTCCACACTTACAAACTTATCGTTTGTTATAAGCTGAAAGCAACCATTGAAAAAAAAACGTTTTGAGATTTGTCAAAATATGGAAGATTTGATTGGTGTATTAAGTTTCTTTAAAACAAATCAAGAACGCAATTAACATTTTTGCCTGTAAGAGATCTCCGAGGTTAACGATAAGAGCTTCGGGATTAGGAGGAACATCGATCCAGTAACCATCATGGAGAACTTGAAGTCCTCCAATGTGGTCTTGAAGAAGAATAGTGATAAAAGATATATCTGTGTGTGAACTGATGCCAAAGGTTCGATCAGGCTCTGGACAAGGTGGGTAGTAATGGGAGAGCAACGACAAACTCTTTGCACAATGTAGCTCTTTAAGGTGGTTAGATTTTAAACCAAGAGCTTCTGATAAAAGCTCAAAGATTAGCTCTCCTAACTTCATCATTCGCTTCGAGTACTCCAACATGATTTCCCTGAAAATATTCACCACCAGAGGTCATTTATAAGTTAGAGAGAATTTTATAACCAAACAAGACAGAATTTTGGTTTTGTTTTGTTTAATCGGTTTGGTTAACCAAATCAGACCAAATTTTCCCTTTTTTCGTTTTTTTTTTAACCCCCTTTTTCGTTTATTAGTTTCTATTTTAGGACTATTCTACCCAAATAATTGTATTTTCTCTTATGGTCTTAACTAATTATGTCGCAATCTCTATTTGGAAAACTTAAGAGAGATAAAGATTCGTACCGACAAATCGCGGGTAAGTCCTCTACTTGTGGAACATCAGGAGCCATAACCGTAGTTAAAGTATCTCTCCAATTTGCAGCTTGAGAGCTATAAAGATCAAAATTAGTGTTATACTTAACCTTTTTGGTGATGTCACGACTATAGAACGTTTTCTTCACTTCTGAGTTCTGCTCATGAAACCCACGTATCCCATCTTTCATCTTATGCATCACTTCGAGTGGAATCCCATGGTTAATCACCTGAAAGAACCCGAACTTCTCAACCGCGTCTCTCACTTTCACGATCACGCTCTCTCGCGTGACCGTGGACTCGAACACGCCACCTCCAAGATCAATTGTTGGAATTTCCAACGTTGAGGAAGGTTTAGGGTTTGTAACGGCAACATGCGGGTGATGGAAAATGCGAGGGATTTTTGTGATCCCGGCGTCTACAAGACCCTTCACGCCGATCTTCATCTCGTCAAATGCTTTTACCTCACCGGCACGATCATAGTTTTCCGTCATTGTGTCTCTCTTTTCTTTTACAAGAAGGAATAAAAGTTGAAGAAAGAGACAGACTTGTGTGCTCCGCAATGTATTTTGTTGAATCAAAAGTATGTGAGCTCCCCGTATATATAACAACATAAAAGTATTTGGTGTGACAAAAAAATAAAAGTATTTGGTGTGTGTGTGTGAATCAAATGAATGGTAACAATTTATTTGCTCAACTTTTGGTTGATGTTTATATGTCATAAAACCCATGTGATACGTCCTTGAATCCATCTAGTGCCGGTCCTAAAAAATTATGGGACCTTGTACGAAACGAAGTCCCCTTTTAATAATTCTAGTATAAAGTTCTTTTTTTGATATAGTACAATTCTCTTTAGATTCAAACAACATATATTCATGAAATACATTTTTTTGTCCTTTTATATATCAATTTTTTAGGACCGCGCATATTATTCTATTATTGTAATCTACTTTTTTGACTAGTGAAAAATATTTACTTGCAATTTTTTTTATTGCACCCTGAACTACATCTTAGAGCTAGATCAAAGTTTTTGATTGATGTGATGTAGTTGTGAAAAATATTTACTTGCAATTTAAATCAAAAACTTCGATCTCCAAGATTATTTGTTATAGGGGCCTTAAGCTTATTCCAAATGCTTCATCCGTGCTTACATAAGAACCAAATAAAATGGTTATCCGTTCGTGTTACACCGGTCTTGAAAAATGAAAATCTATTGCACGTGTTCAATGCAAATAACTTTGTATCCATTACACCGGTCTTTCTTCTTTCCTAAGCTCGTATATAATTTTCTGTCATTTTCTTCTCTTGAGGCCGTCCTGCACCGTCCAATTTTAGTTTATGTTGTTATGTCAATGTTTTTTCTTGCTAATCTCAAGAGCTTACGATGATGCCATCTCTATCATAACTACCAAGTTACGTAACCTGTTGTTAACTCGGTCGTCTTGCCACATTCCTCTATATACTCTAATTAGCATGTTAAACGTTACCAAATGATCATTTCAGATAATTACTTTACTTGGAACCTCTAGTTCAAAACATTTTTCTTTTCCGAAGCTATGATCTAGTAAAAAAAAATGATCTAGTAGAATTAGTCGAAGGTTCATGATAAAGTTAGGGCAGTAAGATTAATAAAGGGTAAATTGCATGGCAGGGCATAAGACCATGTTTTAATTTCATGTTTTGGCAAAGTGAGAATTGCTTTTCATGTTTTGACAATTTAGCCAAAATCTGACCATTTTACCCCTGCCAGCGTAACGATGTACTGTTCACTGTACGGTTCAGTTATGCGGTTCAGTTACGTACACTGTTCCGGTTAAGAAATATATTTTCGTTTTTAATTATTTTTTTGCGGCTGTACAGTAAAAAAGCAAGAAATTTTTTTATTAAAAAATAAAACTGTCACAGAGAGAATTTAATGTATTAGAAAATTAAATAAAAATTAATTTAAAAATAAATATATTTCCACCTCTTTTTGTTTTCACATTTTTTTCTTTTCACTTTTTTAATTATTTTTTATTTTTTTACTTTAAATTGTAACTCTTTTTTTCCTATCTTTTAAGATCCATTTAACTATACTTAATTTTTTCCTTTTAATTATTTTTTACTTTTCTTTTATAAATCATGTTGTTGAATACAATTTTATATTATCATTATCATATATGTATGTGTACGTACACTGGTAATAACTTGTGTGTTTATGTGCATGTACACATTTAAATTATTTGTATACATATAAAATTTTCTTTACAAACCACTCAAAACTTGTATATTTACAAATAATTTTCTTATCGAATATCGTATATAAAAAACATTACCTCATGTACGTGTTAACACTATATTATATATATCCATAATAATATCGAACTAACAACCTTGTATGCAATTCTTTTCCTCCAACCATCAACTCTTTTATGTTATTTTTAATTGAATACATTTTTACAAAAAAAAAAAATGCAACTGTGTACATTGTGTTTTGATATGTACACAACAAAAAGAACGTAAATAAGTTAACATTTAATATACAGAGTCTTTTATGGTGATTAATTTCAGAATACATTGTCATATATACAATATAGTTTGGTGTACGAGAAAATATAGATATTCGTGTATGAACATATTAGTGTATGAAACTGTATACGGGTTTTTTTATAAAACGGTATACGTAAAAATGTATTTTAGGCGGTGTACGTATTTGAAGCTATATAAGTTTTGGTGCGGTGTACATCATTGTATATAATGTGGTGTACGTGGCGGTGTACTAAACTTATAAAGTAGCTCACATTGGTGTAAGATTAGCTGACACAAATATGTAAGATATAAAAAATATTCAAAATAAATCAACAGATGATGATATTTTTCAAATTAAAGATTTGTAAATAAAAATATAATTTTACCATGCTGCATTGTTGTCACTCTTTTGTCAATTATCTCACTGTTTCCATTATCTCTTTTATTAGTTTTTATTTTATCTCTTCTTGCGGAATTAGATGTACATAGTTAAAAATGTGTACATAATAAAGTTTAATTTTGTGTACGTACATAGTAATATTAATATGTTACAATTTATCTATGATAAGATGATATATATAATAATGTACAAATTGAATATGGAGTTAACATAATAAGAAAAACCTTTTTCCGGAGTGAATAATTACGACTAAAAATTTTTAAAACACTTTTTGGAATTGTCAAAAAAGAAAGAGTTATTAAAAAAACACAACTCTTGTAACTAAAAAATTAAAGTGATCGTTATAAATCTATATAAAAAATTGTTAAAAACATTTATAAGTAAAAATGTTTTAAAAAAAAATAGCTGAAAAACATGATTTTCTGAAATATTTTATAGAATGGTAAGAAAGTGAAAAAAAAACAGAAAAATAATTATAATAAACTTTGATGATTTTGAGGAGAATGGTGACAATTTAACCATTTGACAAATGTACGTACATCATTAACTGTGTACAAGAAAAAGTTCGTGAAAGTGAATGTTTGACGTACACGAATACAAAAGAGCATAGTGTATTTGAAGTTAAAGGTTTTGAGGTAGGGATTAGAGGGTCATTAAGGAGCATTTTCATGTCTTACTGGACTAGTGTACGTGTACATAATATATGTACACCATATTATGAATTTAATGTGAACACGGGGTAGTAGATGCAATTTTATTTTGAAAAATATCTCTGTCGTATAGTTGTATAAGATGTAAAAGCGAAGAACATAACAAGAAAACTTACAAAAATCCAATATACATATAAGATTTCATAACACTCGCAGATTAATGTAGTGTATGTTTATGTGTCATCAGGGTGACGATGGATCTATAGGGGGAAGTTCCCTCGATCCTACTATAGACGGTAGTGAAGGTAGTGGCGAAGATTAAGATTACAACAAGTGGAACGATGTAATTGTAGAAGAATATGGAATAGGGAATGTTGAGGAGGACGTCATTCTCACTCAACAGACTGTTCAACATCTAGGAAAATTCAGTCGTCTATTGGCAGAGTGTACGTACACAAGTCAGCGTGTACCTGGCGGAGATAACATTTCTCATTTGGGTGACAGTACACCAACCGTGACTCCAACATGTACGTGTCGACATGGTTTGTACCAATGTACGTACACTACAGACTGTGTACAAGATTATTCGGTAGTTTCCCTATGTCGTGTTTGTGTTTTTTATCATACATCAGGTTCAATTGTATATAAATCTGTTATATATCATATTCTGTAGGGATCCTGTTCCCGTATTGAGGCCACCATTGATCGTCGCCTTCTGGACCATGTGTACCATATTTTTTGTCGGTGTACGTACGTTTAATGTTTGCCATCATATAACTAGGTACGTTTCTGATATGTCTGTGTACATAAAATAATTCGATATTTTTGTGAGAATTGCCCCTCCCTAGGTACAATACTTCTCTTTTCCTGGGCTCTCCAGGCTGCATCTATAACCGATGTATAATTCATTTTTCTTTCCTTTCCCAGACGAACCATGAATACTTCATAAATTAAAAACCCTATTCTAGGAGTAGAAAACGTAATTATATAAATCCATTCCTAAAACGCATTATAATTCCATAAGAACCGTATATTAATAACATATTTTTGTTTCCACATTAAAACCCAAGATTCCAAAATAATGTAGAACCGATAAAATGTGAACATAAACAAATTTGTCTCCAAACTCGAGACCCACATTATATCCAAGAATTTGTCTTGCCCTGCTGATGCATTTCTCAGTTGATTCCATAAGCCAATCACCTCTATAAACTTTTGGTTAATCAAACGACGTAGTTTTTGCCTAAGAGCATCGGCCCAAACCAAGCCCACGTCTCTCTGCTTGTTCTTCATCTCCACCATCACTAGTTCTTTTGTTAGCCGACGAACTTTAACGACGACATTAGCTACTCCATGTGGACCTTCAAGCTTTATCGCTCTCTCCTTCTTCTTCGCGATTCGCAGATTCAACTGCTTCACAACTTCCTCGACCTTCCTCATAATCTCCGCCGTACTCTCATCGGAGACGAACTGGTCGCAATGATCCGGCATCACGAAATTTCCAAACAAACCGGAGAGATTCGAGCTCGACGCCGACGAAATCAAATCGAAGGCGTTTAAAATCTTCCTGTTTTCCTCTAGATCGTAATCGTCGGCTTGGATTCCGATGGTTTCGCTTGGATCTACTCCATGATTGAACCACGGATCCTTTAGACCGGACCGGAGATTTCTCTCTGCCCAATCGGGTATCCATCAATACCCAGCCACACCTCAAAAATCTTTGAAAAAGAACCCGTCGGCGAGAATAATTCATCACCATTGAAACCCCCAAATTGGGCCCGTAACTCTTCCAATCCTCCTCCTTGACAACACCCAAACTTGGAAATTTGAAACCGATTCGAAAGAAAACCACAATATTGGTCCCTTCCCATGACCAGAACCCTTTCAAACGGGTCACCGAACACCACCGCAATCAACCCTAGAATCCTAGAATCCAATTGATACCCACAGATCCGACCATTGAAACTCCATGGAGGACCAAAAATAACTGATCCAAACGCCTCCGATCGAAAACCATCATTGTTGGGAAAGATACCCTAAAATCGCCTCCATCGCCTTTCTCTCTTTCTCTCTCTCTCTCGTTCTTCTTCTTCGTTTCTGCGCAAGATTTTTTTTTTTTTTATTCAAAACCAAACCGTAAAACAAAGAAAAAGTAACTAAACCGAAACCAACTGTGCCATTTGGTTTAAGTCATTAGGGGTATTTTCGTCAGATTTTGGCTTAATTGTCAAAAGGTGAGAACCAAATCTCACTTTGCCAAACACTGAGAGAAAATCTTTTTTTCAGCACAAACGTGAAAATTTCTTATTAATAAACGAAACAAAAATGACCTTTGCTTGTATTTTTAATATATTAATATTTTTTCTTTAATAGAATCTATATAATAATAACAATCGGAATAAATGCATTTTGCAGTTGTCAAGAGTTGTGTCTTTTTATCATAACTTTTTGCTAACTTTTGTTTTTTAAAACTACAAAATATATTTTACGATTGTTATTTTAGAAAATTGCAATTCGAATAAATGTCATCTACGGCTTTTTATCGTTACTCTTTATAAAAGCATGCTATCGTTTAATTGAACTATAAACAGTTAAAAAAAAAAAAAAAAACTATAAACAGTTAGTCATATGCAAGTTGCATCTCCGGTTCAATGGCACAGAAAAATTAGTTAATTGAATTTGAATTACTTTTTTTAATTAATAAAACACATTATTATTTCTAAACCAATTGTTTTTGTTTAGTTACTTAAATGCAAAGATTATTAATTGTATTTTTATAGTAAATAAACTCACACATAATCGAAGATGAGGTCGAATAATTCATTAGGACGCCAAGTGAAATTAAACATCTTCCTTGACGAACAAAAAGTACTTTGTCGTTGGTGAGGAGCCTGTAAGTCTATATGCATAACATATTTTTATGTACAAAGTTAAAATTAATCAAAAAGTAAATGCTGCGTACAGAAACAAAAATGAAATAAAATTAATCAAGTCAGATAACTGGTTTGATTATTAATCAAGTAAAATTAATCAAACCAGATTTCATAACGAATCTACATGTTTTTTTTATATTGCACATTTGCACCCGATAAATTGGGCTTTTTGAGTTTAGAAAAGCCCAATAACTGATTGTCGGTTTCTTTTGTTTTTTAGTCTTTTAAATGGTTCACGAAAGCCATGATTTTCTTAATTGAATCTGATCCTCTTATCAGAATTTAGGGTTCCAAGGATGCCTAACGTCACGTCGAAGCAAGAAGCCACCAGTGACCCCTTGACTCTTACGGTAATTGGATTTCTATTGTTGATCCCCCATAGCATAGATAGGTCTCATGGGAGATTTGCATCAATTCTCATGATACTGCTTTTTTTTTGTAAGGGACTCGTTGATGCTTTACCACCATACCCAGATCAGCTGGAAGGGCAAAGATTCTACCGCAATTACCGTTTCTTGACCACTGCAAACTCTTACAAGGCTCCCGAACCTCAACAAACTTCCTCTCCCTCTTGGCCACCTCGCGATGCAACTGACTACTTGTTCTCTCCTCAAGATTACTTGGCCATTAAACAGTCTTCTTACCAGCCGCCCGAACCTCAACAAACTTTCTCTCCTGCTCCCACTTGGCCACCTCGCGATGCAACTGACTACTTGTTCCCTCCTCAAGATTACTTGGCCATTAAACAGTCTTCTTACCAGCCGCCCGAACCTCAACCTTACAAGCCAACTTCTCCCAGGCGTTATGACTATTATGGACCACCTGACGCTGATGTTACTGACTATTATGCACCACCTGACCTACCACCTTACAATGATGATGTTGTTGTCTATGAACCCCCTCTCCCCTCCAACCTTGTACCTATGGTAATTTTTGTTTTATGTATACTTTGGGGTTCTTAAGGAGGTACTCCTCCATATATACTTTTATTTTGATTTTGATTTTGACTCTCTCCACCAGGATTGTGGATATGAAGGGACTTTTGGTAAAGTTGGACTTCATTGCTACAATCTGCTAAATGTAAATTATCTCTTTCCTTTGTGTCTACCATTATTGGTTTTTGTATATATTTTGTATAAGTTGTTGTTATTTTCATCTTTGCAGGGGACAAACTTTAAATATGTCTGGCTAGACGAGAACCATCTTACCGGATTAATTTATAAGGTTATAAAATTCTATGCAACCGATCCAACTCGCACTTGCGAGTTCTTAACTAGGGTGGTTCAGTCTGAGACTGAGAATCAAGGCTGCTTGAGTTTCATTACAATGAAATGCACATTATTGCCAGGTAATTTGTAAACACCGGCCTCTCTTGTTATATTATTATTATATTTATTGCGTCTAATCTTTACCGGTCATGTCCATATACCTCAGAGGAGAATCACTACCCAAGTCGCTTTGACCAACTTGCCGTGGATGATTTCTTCAAAGGTGATATGCCCAACTCGATGCCTGAGAATACCAGTGATAACCTGCAATACTACGAGGTGTGAGCCCCTCCCTCTTTTGTCCTTCAAAGAAGCATGCCTATCTTGAGACTATATAATGTGATAAATATGGTGTTGACTTGATTTTGCAGCTCAAAGAGTCGGAGGTGGAAGAATACAAGGATTGGCTTCATCTGTACGTGGATCTCGCATTGCGCACCAAGTTGCGTTGTTTCCGTGTGAGAAAAATCAAAAAAGCAAAGATGAGGAGGGGAATTTGTCTAGATTTAATATTGATCTCTTGATGTTGTTGTGTTGCAGGGCTCACCAGTGTGGGGAGAGCCATTTGAGCTGAGAAAGATAATTGTGCAAACTAGAGCAGATGTGGAGTCTAAGAAGAAGGCCACGGCGGAGAATGCAATCTTCTACATGAACTTCAAAGGCCGTGGCAATCAAGACTGCAATGCTATCATAAGGAGAACAACGGATGGACTGCCACAGCATATGTCGCTTGAAGTGAAGTGTTTGATGTGAAAGCCAACCATTATGTATTTTAAGTATATATCTTAACGTCCCATTATGTATTTAAGAATCTAATCCCATTATGTATTAAGAATCTAATCGATCTACTATTCTACAGTCTTTCTTGAGACTAGTAAATGCTTCGCTTGATGTTTTGCTTCTTCCTTGCTAGTCATGCAAGGGGAAAATGACTTTGAATTCCATTTTGGTTGTACATGCTTTGGGATGAGGAGCACCTTTTTGTGGATTTGTTGTTTATCTCTTCATGCGCTTATCATGTTCGTTTTGTTTGCATATCTACAATAACAATATTCACCTATAATTATTTTGTTGATTCTCTTTCTATGTACTTGTAAGAAGAGGTTTCCGATGTGAGTTTTGACTCTGTCTTTACATACATTCATTTGCAATTATATCTACACGTATATCTTCTATACTTGCTACCTCAGCTCTTTTGTTCTTCTCTTTATGCAACATATTAACTCTTTACTTCCTACTTTTTGCATAGTTGAATTCAGAGGCCAATAACGGTTAACTGGATGAATATATATGAGTCACCTGTCACCCACATGAATCTTCAGAACCCCCTCTGCATAGACAGCTATTAAAATTTGGGTTAATTTGCAAAATGGACCGTTTTTCAAAAGTAATTGGTATTATAGACAGTTCAGTATGAGAATGCAAAAGAGAGCATGAAACTAGATCATAAAATACAGAAATAAAAAACATGATCATGAGAGGTGGTTGACAAGTGAATTCGACGCTGAGATGAGAGATGAGTCCTACGAGATTGGCTCTAGATTCAAGTCGATCCCTATTCTCGAGATAAGGAAGACATACCATACCACTAAGAGCGAAATGTACTAGATTTTGCTTGATGACATAATTGCTGGGACTATCCACGTAGACGCGAGGATGTCCAACAAGGTAAGACTCGAGAAGCCAGATGATGACAGAGACGTAGTAGATTTTTCCACGAACTCTATAAGGGATATTTTCTTGTACGTGGATGAGATTGTTGTTAACTTCAGGCCCGGCCTAAATGGGGTGGGAGAGGGGCAGTGGCCCAGGGGACGATGGATTTTTGTAAAAATTTAATATTAAAAAGTTCATTATTTTTTTTTAAATTAGAAATTAGCATGAATTTCTTATAAATGGGTCCAAAATTTTTAAATTTGATTCTTTTACATAAAAAGGTCTGTATATTATAAAATTTTTTAAAATAAGGCAAAAAGTTATTTACAAAATAGTCTGGATTTTAACCAAAAGTTTGAAAAAAATCTCAAAAAAAAATTAAGTATGAAAAAATCCAAAAAAAATTTTTTTGTCTAAGAGTCCAAATATATGTTGGGTCGGGGCTATTTTAACATGTACCTCTAGCCGAGGGTAATCACGTAGTAGGTCAAAGAGATGTTGTCGGATACGCTCCTTAGTGGAGTAATCGTACAAAAGGCCTTGCTTGGAGAGTAGGTTGGAGATGTGAATCTTCACGGCTGGCGGAATCTCTTGTTGAGGAAGATCATGAATTGAATGCAAAGAACTCATTTGATCCGCTCTTGACTTATGTAGTAAGCCGAATTTCTACAAATAATCACCAAAAGAAAGCAATCAAAATCAAAAGACACAAGCTGTGAATTAAGATTGCAAAAGGCACTAATCAAGATAGAGGATTCATGATACCTTTTATAGCAGTATCTTATGCAATCTTTATGAATGCTTCTACACCCCCATCCTTAGTCTTGATGTGTGCTGCTAAATCAGGATGTCTTAGGAATCTGGCGACTAATCTAATTAAGCAATTGTTTCAAAAATATTAAGTCAATTTTCTATCTTCTTTCGTGAGAGCACTGATCCAAAATTAAGACAGAAAAAGAAAAAGTAAACCTGATCGAAAAAATCTTGTGTCTTCTCTAATGTACCATAAAAGATCATTCTGACCATTATCAATTATAATCTTTGCCAACTTGGTCTATCAAAAAACCAGATGATCATCAGCATTAAGAAAAGAATTTTAGCAAATAAAATGAGGAAGCTATATATACCTTCTCAAGAGAAAGTCGTCCATTGAAATTAGGGACAACGAAAAGTATTTTAAGAGCACATTCGTCGCTGAGTTGCATGACGAGTGATACTAAGTTGGAACTATGGCCCCAATTCCGAAGATAAGGATGAGTGACTTCACCAGAAGAAGCGACACATTCGACACCTTCCTTGATGATCGTATCGTTTGGGCAATTCACACAACTCCAAGAAATAGATGATGACGGGTATGTTGTATTTGTTGCTAACACCATAGCAGATCTTTCCATTTGCATGGAGCAGATTGTATGAGCGCTTAACCGGCACAATTTTGAGTTGTAGTTGAGGGAATGAAAGTATTAGGTCGACCAGATGTTGCACGATGAACCCCTTGGTAAAGTCATTATATGCAAGACTGGACGATGAGAGTGAGCATCTCTAAGGCAGAATTAAAGAACATTCTTCTCTGATTAGAGAGCGGAAAAGACATCGGAGCTAAGGAGGGAACAAACTTTCAAGAGAAACAGATGAAAGCCAAAAGGCCGAATTATCTGCAAAAAAAAAACATTGGTCAAGACATTGATCAAAGAAAAAAAAGATGAAAGTCAAAAGGCTGAATTATCTCAAAATTCTTTTACTAATGTATACACATTGTGTCTTAGCGAGCGACATGGAACAAATAAATGCGAGCGACGATGAGTAATGAGACATGAACGATTCGTCAGACGAGTTGCAGATAGGAGAAATTTTTAGAAGACAAATCAAATGAGAGTGAATCGTTTTCTTTCTATGTACAGTGGAACCTCTATAAATTAATACTCGATAAATTAATAAACACGATAAAATAAGAAGTTTTGCCGATCCCGAGTCGGGCCAGTGTAAAGATTAATCAAATTCGATAAGATAATAATTTTTTTGAAATTCCTATGTAAAAATATGGTCCCAATAATATCATAAATTAATAATTATATAAATAATATATATATATATATATATATCTATATAAATAGAATATATTAATGCATGATATATTTTTCTAAGAAATTAAATTTTTGGTAGAGATTGTCTCTAACTTTTATTGTATAAAACAACTAGATAACAACCCGCACTACGTGTGGAACAAAACGATTATTAACTAATTTTAATGTATTGATGATATTGAAGGTGTTCGATTTTTATATTATTAGATAAACGATGGTGTATTAATGATTATTAAGATTTTTGAAATTTTCATTTATGTATTAATGTTTATATTTATCATAATTTATGATATATATCTTGGTATATTAATCAATATACAAAATATTAGGTACTCCATTTTGTATAGATCTTTATATCTTAATTGCATATTTAATTAAATTTTCGTTCTAATTAATTGTATTTTTGTTTTAATTAATTGAGTGAAATAAAAAAACATAAATTAATTGGAAAAATTAAATATAAGTAAAACTAATGGTAAAATCTGTAAATATTTTAATAAATGTTGGATTTTTAATTAAATGGATTGAGTAGCTCTATGAGAAAGACACGTCAGCGTGACATTTTTGTTAATCACACATGGAGATAATGTTATTTTAAAAAAATGCTTCTCAACTATTATATAAGATATTTTAATTGTATTTTCGTTTTAATTAATTGAGTAAAATAAAAAACATAGATTAAGTGGAAAAAATAAATATAAGTAAAACTAATGATAAAATCTGTAAATATCTTAATAAATGTTGGATTTTTAGTTAAATGGATTGAGAAACTCTATGAAAAAGACACGTCACCATGACATTTTTGTTAATCACACATGAAGATAAGGTTATTTTTTAAAATGCTTCTCAATTAATATATAAGGGATTGTTTTGTGCCTTTAAAATAAAGTGTTGTATTATATTTTATAACTACGTAATAAAAATAACTAATTTTTTTCTATAAATTTTTATGAATATGCATAATTTTCATTTTGATAGTCTTTTATGATGTTAAAATATGAGACATGAGGTCATTAATCATAAATTTGAATTTATGTATATCGTTTGTATAAGGTCATTAATCATAAATTTGAATTTTATGTATATCGTTTGTATAAGTGAATTCACTTATAATATTTGTAACTTATGGCTGAAAAAACTTATTTTCTAAATGTCAAATCCAAAGTCCATAATTTAAGATCCAAAACATCAATTTCATATTTTTTAGAAATTTAAAAATTAAACCAAATCTCTTTATGAATTAATAAATATTAATTTATATGATAAATTAATATTTATTAATTTATATGATAAATTAATATTACTATAAATTAATAAAATATCATGGTCCCAACAGTATTAATTTACAGAGGTTTTATTGTATCTCTCTCGGTAACCGAAGTGATAAATTTGAATTTAATTTTTATTTATGTCTTTTTTTTTCTTTCTCTCCTCTCGACTTAAGCGTTTGAATCAGTATATATCATAGATGTATAGCCGGCACAATGTTCTCCTCTGCTAGTATACATCTCGAACACTAACGCAAACAACCAAACCAATTATCTATTGTAATCTGATTAACCATATTCATTTCGTCAACAACGAAGTCATAGTTCTATCCAGACTTTACAACTTGGAAACGCCAAGATATGTTGATGATCTACTTTGCTTTTTTGATGTCATCTCACTCAATATTCTATCTCTAGTTTATCGTGTAATCACTTAGAGCATGATTATAGGTAGTCTCTTAAGAAAATCTTAAAATTATGTTAGCATTTAATTGATTATATTTATTCTCAAAAGTGCCTTTAAGCTAAGAAGTGTTCTTAGCTAAGGAACAAAAAAAAAATGTTAAGAGGTGGAACAAAAATAATATTACTTAAATATTCTTAAGAAGTATTATTAAGAGCCTACCTATAATCATGCTCTTATGCACAAATGTGGAGAACCCTTGATGTAATTATGTAACCTACGCCAAACCTAGTCTTGGTCATATCAAGCCTAGCTAATTCAAACAAAATATATCAATATAACAAAATAGATTTTCTGACACAAAGTATAGTTTGGAGTATAGCCGAAACAGGTACCAAGGACTACAACATGGTACATTTGTTTGAGTGTGCGTCGGTCTTGAGGACGGCCGCTTATTTAAGACCACCACTCTCAGTCTCCTGTCTCCCATGAACCAATTTGGTTAAAGTGGCAACGTTTCTTGTCGTTTTATTTTCATAAGTAGGTAATATGTTAACTTTCTGTTTTATTTTTTATCTCCATATATCCATTTTTATTTTTGTATATTTTTTTGTGTGTTGGCTTGATTAGTACAACTGTGTTTTTTGGTTTTAAACTAGCGAGCACAGTTTGACAAAACAAATACTTCATGCATAAGTAACATTTTCAATTAACGTATGTTACTTTTTGAAGCTTGATCATAGATGTTTTTTTCTTTTAGTAATATCCAAATTTTGTTGCCGCAAAGATCTTCCAGAAAAAGAGACTTTCATCCTAAATTCGTTCTAGTTTGGTGTTAGTTCCAGTGAAGATCAATAATATAAGTGGCGGAAGAAAAGGATCAATATTTATTTAAAGAATTCTTTAAAACATCTTCGTTTAGAAAAACTATGTACTAAAAATAACTCTAAATTAAAATATAATTAGGTGCATTAAAAAAAAATCGACAAATGTGTTCCTTTAGGTTTTAAGACTACATCAAAGTATCAAACAAGTCAATAATGTACCTAGAAACTAATATATACCTAAACTCGAGATATAATAAAAGTTTAAGATACTGAATACATTCTTTCGAGTTTACAATATTAATTTGGATTATTACCGATGTGGGCGATAAACTTTCTTTCATAACGTACGGAACAATCAAGTGAAAGCCCGTAGAAGAGCAAAGATATGTCAGTTCTTCTTATCAGATCTTGAAATCAAGCAACACAGACTTCCCATCGAGCCCTCTCGCCATGTAATGGTTTGTGTACTCACTGACGGTAGTGTCTCTATACTTGGGAAGGTTTTGCTCAGACAAAAGCTTTTTTATCGGTCCATAAACTCGCAAACTCGGTAAAGGATGCACAAAGAAAGATGCGACTGAGATCCGCGGTTCTTCCCCTCTATTAGCCAAAACTCTATGCTCCACGCTCAAAAACTTGTCATTCGTCATAAGCTACAAAGAAAATCACACAAAAAAGTATGAATTTGTTTCAAACCAAACGGTATGATTCATGTCACAATAACGACTTGCCTGTAAAAGATCTCCGAGATTAACGAGAAGAGCTCCTGGAACAGGAGGAACATCGACCCAATAACCATTCTGAAGAACTTGTAGCCCACCAATGTGATCTTGAAGAAGAATAGTTAGAAAAGATCTGTCTGAATGCTGACTTGTACCGAAAGTAAGATCAGGCTCAGGACAAGGCGGGTAATAATGAGAAAGCATCAATAAACCTTTTGTGCAATCCATTTCTTTTAAGTGGTTAGGATCCAACCCTAAAGCTTCAGATAAAAGCTCAAAGATTAGTTCCCCTAGTTTCATCACTCGTTTCGAATACTCCAACATAATTTCCCTAAAACATTCACACAACTAGATAAGTCTTCTTTCTTTATTTCTTCTATAGATTGAGAAATAAGAGAAATTTGTAATACGTACCCACAAATATCTGGTAAGTCCTCTGTTTTAGGAACATCAGGGGACATAAAACAACTCAAGGTATCTCTCCAATTAGCTGAAGGTGAGCTATAGAGATCGAAATTACTGTTATACTTAACCTTTTTGGTGATGTCACGAGTATAAAACTTTTTCCTCACGTCTGAGTCTTGCTCATGAAACCCACGAATCCCATCTTTCATCTTCTCCATAACATCAATAGGAATCCCATGGTTGATCACCTGGAAAAACCCGAACTTCTCAACCGCGTCTCTGATCATCGCGATCACGTTCTTTCGCGTGACTGTGGACTCGTTGAACACGCCTCCTTTGAGATCGATTGTTGGGATAACCATCGTTGTAGAGGAAAGAAGTAGATTTGAGTCGGTTAAATTGAGATGTGGGTGATGGAAGATACGTGGGATCTGAGTAACTCCGGCGTCGACGAGACCCTTGACGCCGATCTTCATCTCGTCGAAAGCTTTTACCTCACTTGCACGATCGTTCGTTGCTTCCATCTTCTTCTTCTTCTTCTTACTCTTCTTTTTTTTTTTTGTCGGCAGTCTTCTTTCTTTCTCTGTTTGTTCAGAGAAACAGAACAAAGAAAAAAAAAAAAAAGTTTTTATTTGTTCAAAAAAAAAAAACTTTGTTGAAGAGATATTTTTGGTTTCTTCTGTTTAATTTTACAAAAGGTGTAAATGGAGATGCGGGGTATCGATCCCCGTACCTCTCGCATGCTAAGCGAGCGCTCTACCATCTGAGCTACATCCCCACAATGACTAACAATTATTATATTTTTATTTAATATACTATATGTAAACTGATGCAAAATACGAACGGTGTGTGTTTAAAAGTGAGTGAGTGATGATTTTGAGAATTTGAGACAGTGACTAACGATATTTAATAGGGAGATCAACTAAAGTCGGGATATCTCCTGGTATTCGAGTGGGATCTTAATATTTTTATTATTAAATAACCAGTAAAGTAGATGAGATTGTGATTGATATTAAAGTAGATGAGATGTGATTGACAAAACTTTAGAATAATTAAGTGAGAAAAAAAAAGATAGGAGGATTGAGAGTAAAATTTCTGTATTAAGTAAAATAAATTTTTACTCTACTTAGCCTAATTTTAGGAAATCTTTTTCCTTTTATTTTATTTTTTCAGCTGATTAGTGTAGATCAAGCTAAAACAAGAGTAATTTGTTTTTCAATCCACTATATATATTCAATCCACTATTGTTACGGCAATAGACACTAACAGTTTTTTTTTATAAAAAATATGTATTACATAAACCCTGGATCTTACAAATATAATAAAGTCAAGTCATACACACCTACCAAAAGAACCAATTGAGGCATGTGGTTCAATGGTTAGCTAAACGGATGGGCTCATTCTCTCACGTTTTATTTTGGCTCCACCTACCTACTTCAAACCACTACCCATCTTTGTTACCTTCTCTATGTCTTCCTTATACTTTCATTTTCTTTTCTCTTAAAAAACAAAACATAATTAATCAGCTACATTTTTATAATACAATCACAAGGTCCACAACTAATTCTTTTTCTTAAACGTCAAATAGTAGTTCTTTTACTATTTGATTGTTTGAGTGTTGAACAAAAATAATACTTAGAACTATAATATTAACTGAAATCAACCAATATTCATATAACTCTTGTATTCGTTTAAGTAACTTTCATGTAAAAGTAATTAAAAAAAAAATTCCTTCATGTAAAAGCTTGATCCTAAACATTTTATTTTCAATATGTTTTAAACAACAATTAAATTTTCTTTTATTTCAAACCTATACAAAGTAGATTTGCATTGTTGTGACTTGTGACATATACTTCTAATTGAATGAGATAGAAATATCTAATTTTTTATTTTTTCGTCAGTTGACCAGATATGACTTACTTCGTTATTACAAGAGTTTTGGACCCAAAGATATTGACGTCTGGCCAATCAACTCCGTCGAGATAGAAATATCTATCTAAATTAAGTTATTATTTAACAATTGTATCTGATTCACAAAAAGAGTGGCACATAATTGGTGGTAAATGCTGATATTTTTTGACGTACGGTAACAGTTTTTTTAGTTTTCGTGGTTTGAAATAGGAAAAAAATAGTTAAAATTTTGATTTTATATAATGTTTTTTTGATTAATTACGTCCCATTTTTTTTATAAAATCTTGTTTCCACCAAACAACAACGCAAACGCAACGCCACGTTTCGCCACGAGTCGCAATTCTCTCTCTTTCCCCATGTCTCATCTTTCTCTATAAAACTCTTGTCGTGACACTCTCAAATTTCACTCAACAAAGCTAACCATAAACTGTGTGGGTAAAGAGTGAAGAAAGCAAAAAAGAAAAGCTAAAGATGGTGCTAAAGGTGTACGGACCTCACTTTGCTTCACCAAAGCGAGCTTTGGTAACGTTGATCGAGAAGGGCGTTGCCTTCGAGACCATCCCCGTCGATCTCATGAAAGGAGAACACAAGCAGCCTGCTTATCTCGCTCTTCAGGTTCCTTCCTTCTTCCTCTATCTTCTCTGATTTTTTCCTTTTTTTTCTCGATTCTAATGGTTTCTTACTTTGATTCTTCTTCCTATGCAGCCTTTTGGTACCGTTCCTGCTGTTGTCGACGGAGACTACAAAATCTTCGGTACGATTTTAAAGAAAACTTCACTATTCGTTTAATTTAGCATATTCAACCTAAAATTGAATGATTCTGTTTTAGTGATAAAATCAAGATAATAAGCTCGATTCAAATTATATCAACTACTTAATTCGATTATTTCTATAGTTATGCTAGGTCAATTTCGTCACAGATCAAACAAGTTCTGTTTTAGGTCAAGTTCTGTTTTGTTATGGTTGTATGTGTCAGAGATGCTAAGAGATGGTTTTTGATATTTTGACAGAGTCACGTGCGGTGATGAGGTACGTAGCTGAGAAGTACAGGTCACAAGGACCTGATCTTTTGGGGAAAACCGTTGAAGACAGAGGTCAAGTGGAGCAATGGCTCGACGTGGAAGCCACCACTTACCACCCACCGCTCTTGAACTTGACGCTACACATAATGTTTGCATCAGTCATGGGATTCCCATCTGATGAGAAACTGATCAAGGAGAGCGAAGAGAAGCTCGCGGGTGTTCTTGATGTCTACGAGGCACATCTCTCGAAGAGCAAGTACTTGGCTGGTGATTTCGTGAGCTTGGCTGATTTGGCTCACCTCCCGTTCACTGATTACTTGGTTGGTCCCATTGGGAAGGCTTACATGATCAAAGATAGGAAACACGTGAGTGCGTGGTGGGACGATATTAGCAGCCGTCCTGCGTGGAAGGAGACTCTTGCCAAGTACTCATTCCCGGCTTAAGATGAGTTCTTGGTGATGGTGTTTGTGTTTTATGTGAGGTTTAATAAAAGTGGAACTAAATGAATGCGCCTCTTATGTAATGTTACCTCTGTCACTGTGTTCTCTTTCCTTTTGTAGTTTAATAAGTATATCTATCGCTTTGTGAGGCTTTCTATATAAGGAAATGATCTTTTCCCCTAGTTCTACTTGAATGGTTAACTAGCTTAAGAAAATTAATTATGAATGAAAGGTCGGATTAGCGAGAGATATCGGTGACCTAGTCGATGAATAGTGATCCGATGAACTCTTAATATCTAAATATAATGCTCAATCTATCTTATTGATTGCATATCGACTCTAAAATAATAGGTAGGCACTGAAGTATGAAATAAATGATGATACCATCAAAATAGTTTGCGGTTTAGGTCGGGACGGAGTCAGAACAAAAAAGAACTTCCACGGACGTAAATCTTGGTAGGATTCTTTCACTCGGCCTTTTGACTCATAACCAATTTTGACCAAGTACATTCAAATATTGGAAGAAGTGACTGATCTAGCAAGAAATGCTCTACCAGTAAAACAAAGCAGAGAGAGTGACTCTAAGAATAAATATTTGATTTTCTTTAGGGAGTTTCCTGATGTATCACTCAACTACTGATGCTTAGTTTTAGATGAGTTTTTACTATTTCCATGAAGCTTTTTGAGACGAAGCCTCTCAGCTTACCTGGACAATAAAGTGCATCATGCGGTTTTTTTTAACATATAACCAAAATTGACAAAATTGAAAAAAAAAGTTTTAAGTTAAATTGGGTTTTCGGGTCCAATAATCGATAAAAAAAATTATTATAAACTCTATAATAAAAAAGTTGGTTTCAATAATTCGATCACTAGTTTTTGTTTAAGGCATCTAATAATTGTGTTGGTAAAGTAATGTGTTATCTGTCAGAATATAAATAACAAAATTAATGGCCTCATTAGAACACGTTTTATATATACTTTCTTGTACCCACCAACCTAATTTTAACCGGCTAACTTGGTTTTTCATTGTCTGATCTTAAATATAATTTTTTTATAAAATCATTAACCAAAACAAAACAAAGTTTAATCACACCCAAAATAAATAAGTCGTTTTAAGTCACATAACTAATAATTAAAATGTGTTGATTCAAAATAAACAAATGAGAATCATTATGGCATCTACTCTAACAAAGTGGGAATATCTTTCCAGCAGTCTTAATTTATGAGGCTTATTAAAATAAGTAATAATATTTAATTCATAGTTTGATACTTTGATGGGACGTTGGAAATTTGCAAGTGAGAAAAGTCAAAAATGACGTGAAACAATGCCGCCACCTATACCGACACTTGTATAAATAATAAATACAAATAAGTGCGACTGCGTTTACCGTGCAACCGCAAACGCAGCTAACCAGATCCCTTTTTCTCTCCCTCTCTTTCTCTCTATAAAATCGCGTCCTTGCGATAGTGAGTTTAGAAAGAAACTGATAGTAGAAGAAAAAAGAGAGAAGAAAAATGGTGTTGACGATCTATGCGCCTTTATTCGCTTCTTCGAAGAGAGCCGTGGTAACGTTGGTGGAGAAGGGAGTATCATTCGAGACCGTCAATGTCGATCTCATGAAAGGAGAACAGAGACAGCCTGAGTATCTCGCGATTCAGGTTCCGATTTACCCTTTTTTACTAACTGATTCTTTTTCCGGCGATTTTTCCGATCATGATCCTTTTTTCCGATCGATGCAGCCTTTTGGTAAAATCCCAGTGCTCGTCGATGGAGACTACAAAATCTTCGGTACACTTCTTCTCCTTTAGTTACTACTACACGAGTCATGATCGTATAATGGATCTGAAATTCGAGATCATGATCAATGAATCTGTGATTTGTATGGTTGATTTGTTAGGAGAATCATCCATTAAAGCTTAAAATTGCAGTTTCAGATTTCACTTTGATCATCAAGATTGTTGAAGTAATGAATGTTAAAGAGATTTCACCTTTTTGTTGCAGAGTCGCGTGCGATCATGAGGTATATAGCAGAGAAGTATAGATCACAAGGACCTGATCTTTTGGGGAAGACAATTGAAGAGAGAGGACAAGTAGAGCAATGGCTTGACGTTGAGGCTACTAGCTATCACCCACCACTATTGGCTTTAACGCTCAACATTGTCTTTGCACCACTCATGGGTTTTCCTGCTGATGAGAAAGTTATTAAGGAGAGTGAAGAGAAGCTTGGAGAAGTGCTTGATGTCTATGAAGCTCAGCTTTCAAAGAATGAATACTTGGCTGGTGATTTTGTGAGTCTAGCTGATTTAGCTCACCTTCCGTTCACTGAGTATCTCGTTGGTCCTATTGGGAAGGCTCATTTGATCAAAGATAGGAAGCATGTTAGCGCGTGGTGGGATAAGATTAGTAGCCGTGCTGCGTGGAAGGAGGTTTCCGCAAAGTACTCACTACCTGTTTAAACAAGGAGATGTTGACTTGGGGTTTGTGTCTTGTGAGGGAGTCCGTTTCGGGTCGATTGTCTCTTTGTTTCAATAAGTAACGGAACTCTGCCTCATTTGTTATCTCTGGTTTCTTGTATTTTGTAACCCTTTCAAGCTTTTCAATAAGAGTTTAAAATCAGAGTGATCAAAACCTATGAACCAGACGGTTTCGGATGGATAGATTAGACAGGGTTTGTTGAAGGATTGCATTTATATGAAAACTGGTTTATATGAATCCAAAAACATAAGTCAAAAGTTTAACACTCAACTCTCTGTTCTTCATGTTGTAATAAAGGGGAAAAAGAATCCTTCCCTAGTCAGACAAGTTCAAGAGCTGCAGATACATAGACAACTCTTGAAGGTACAAGAAAACCAAAAAGGCAAATTCTTTTTGTTGTTAGAACAATCAACTCTCCAAACATTACCGGAAACATCAAGAGTATATAAAAATGTACGAAGATCTACCAATCATTCATCAAGGCTGATCATGAAAAGATTCTGAAGGTGGATCATTGTGTGGAACATTAGGTTCAGGAGTCACTACCGGGATATCCATGCTGTTTCTTCTGTCCCGCTCAGTCTCTGCAGATATTTCTCTTACATCAGAAACGCTTGCCTCTGTTGCCTGAATATCATTCCATTCGTTTTCTCCAACCGGAGGCTGAGCGTTTACTACCTGCTCTTCACTCATATGGACTACATTCTCTCCCGGTATAGAGGCTGTTTTTGAAATGCTCAGACATGCTTTATCCACGTTCTTTTCTGTTTCCGTTGTCATTGGAAGAGAAGCTTCGCCGTTCGTAGACTCAGTCTTCTCCTCACAAACTTGCTTCGTCTCTAGTTGCTGCCTGCTTATTCAAAAATAAAGAGATTTATGACACTTCAAAATATTGAGTTACCCTGGGAGATAGATTCAGATGAGCTAACCTTTGAAGCTGAGTTTGTAACATATTCACATACGCTAAAAGCTCTTGCTTCTCTGTCCAAGCAGTTGTCTCTCTCTGAGAAGCCTCCTTTGCTTTTGCTTCACCACTTGCTTCTGCAACCCTCGCTTTCTCTTCGGCCCTCACAACAGCTCCTTCAAGTATGACAACACGCTCTCTGGCTTTTCCAAGCTCAGACCGCCACATATGTGCCTCTTGGAGAGCAGCGTCTCTTTCCTTAACCAATTGATCTTTTTCCTTACTCAGAGTAGATGTCTTCTCTTCCAATTCCTTGAGCTACATAGGAGATAAAAATCAATAAACAATAAGGATCCAAAAGTATTTGTATATGACACGGCCTCATTACCTTTAATTTTGCGGCTTCTTGCTGTCTCTGTGAGTCTTTAGTCAAGCGCTCAAATTCCACACAAACGATTTTCCTTTGTTCATCCATTGTATGAGCTGCAGATGCTGCAGCTACAGCTGCTTCAGCAGTCTCAGATAGCTTATCTGCTATTTCCTTTATCATTGAGTCACGAGATCGAAGTTCTCGCGCCAAATTATGTAATTCTTCATCTTTGACACGTAGAGTTTCCTGTACATGTAAGTGGCTCAATAAGGCTAACCTGGACATTAGAATGAAGATGGACGATAAGCTTTATGCCAATTCTGTAAATTTTCATCCTTGACACGGAAAGTTTCCTATAAGATGTCTCTAAATCTTTACTTACTAAACAAAAATATGTATTGCAGGATCTCAAAAGCCATGGATGTCAATATGCCATCTGCAATAAATGTTTCCTAATGTCAAAGTGAAAGAGAGATACAAATATACCACACCTTCATTATTGTCAAATCATCTAGTGGTCCCTCGATCGGTTTGTTTGCCGTTATTTTCAATGCATTCCTCAAAGAGATCTGCATTGCTGCTTGAATTTCTCTGGAACATTCCAATGCTGTTGAATTGGCAGCGGCCACAACGGTTGCAACCGTACCAAGTGTTGCAGAGCCACTTCCGCTTAGAGATTCGACAGCCTCCTTATGAGCCTTTAGGACTAGCTGTGTCGCACTTGAATGAACAAAGAAAGATAAGGTTTAGCATATTGGCTTTTTGAGGGGCATTCAGGAGGTGTTACATCTTAAGAAAAGAAAAAACCTAAAAGAGAGAGAAAGATGATTCTTCCAACATGGTCGATGATGAAACCATTAAATCAACAAAACTATGAGTTATTTAAGATAGATGAAACAAGCGTGGTGGCTTCTCTAGAGAGTGGTAAGCAAATAAAAAGGACAGAAAGAGAAGTATACAAAAGAAGATGAAGATCCAGATGACTTACTGTAAGGTTGTGACCCATGCCTTAGCTGCACCAGGAGTCTCTGCACACAAAAAGTAATCTTTCTTCTGTGGAGTACCAATATCTTACATCAAGTTGAAGAAAACTAAACTCTACATCAGTTACTATCTCCTTATAGACAAAAGACAGATTTATAAATTTGCCAACAACACATCACTAGAACAAGGATACAGATACAGCAACCATTATATTTTGGAAGCCCCCTGAAACACAAAAGAAACAAAGTCAATAATACAAATAGACACCTAATAAAGCTGATTATTTTGGACCAAAAAAAAAAAGATCGTAGCATCCATACTGGAAGTTGACAGGAGAGATGGAGATTGTGCTATTTTCGTCAAACAAAATTGTTCCCTTGATAGTTGGTTCGTTTCGTCTCGTCCTGAGTCATGGAAATACATCAGAAATGAATAGACCCATGATGAAATAGTCTACACACAAATGCAGCTACATAAGCAAATTGATATAACTCACTTATACTCCATTTTCCCTGTTGTAGGATCAAGTATCACCCATCTTTCGTTCCATTTTCTCAGCTATTCATACATAAACACAAACAAAAAACATTTCAGGTCACAAGAATTCTCAAACCAATAAATACTTAACCTATAGAACTCTGCACTCAAACAAATCCTCAAAAGAAACCACAAAGATTCTTAATTTCTTAATCTCATCCAGATGCTTCATGACTAATAGTGAGAAATGAGAGAGCTTTAGTTAAGCTAACTAGAAATCCCAATCAATAAAGCAAAAGCTGGTTTTGATCATTTTCACTCAAATTGAAGAGAGGCCAGTCAAAAGAATTGAACTTACAGTTTCAGATCGCTTGAAAAGAGGTCCCTGAAGCAAGTTCCGACCAGAGCCAGATGCCAATTGCCGCTTGATCTTATCCAAGCTGTTCTCAGTAGCATCAACAATTCTCTGCGCATTTTCCGAAATTGACAAAATGGGTCAATTTAAGAGTGTGAATTAGAAAAGGAGCCAAAAGAAAGAGACTAAATTGTAGCAGACAGAGATCGAGTGAGAAAGAGACCGGAGAAGCGCCGTTGGAAGCCATGTTAATTAGGATCGGCGAGATCGGAAAGTTCTTTGATCGATTAGAAGTGAATAATTGCTGATCGATGAATCAAGAGAAGAAGGGGTTTTAGAGGGTTTTTTTTTTGGTTTAGGTATGATGAGCTGAAGAAGACGAGGTTAACGAAGAAGAAGATGAAGAAAATGGAGAAATTGCTGTTAGGTTTGGTTTCGCGGAATTGCAGTTGATGAATCTGTCTGTCTTCACTCTTTCAACGCGATCAAATCAACTTAACCGGCCGGTATGTTACTGGATCAAATTAACTAATCCGGCCGGTTCTCTTTTTTTTTTTTTTGTTCACTTCATTTTTATGGGTTCTGATCTGACGGTGGAGGTGTCATCACATGATTCTTTTGTTTTTTTTGGGTTTTTTTTTTTCCTTTAGAGCAAGAAATGTAGAGGGAGCAGAAATAAAGTGAAAAGACTAATTGAGATTTTAATAGAGGATGGACTCAGTAACATTAATGGGCTTGGTTGTGTGAAGTCCAACATGTAGGGGAGGTTACCTTATGGTACTTTCAAGATGGCTTTATGAAGTAGTTGAAGTAGGTTACCTTACGTTCGATTTCCCATCTAGCTGAAGTAGGACGAATGAAGTCAGGGTCGGCTCAAACTTATTCGAAACCTTGTGCTGATGTATAAAAATTAGCCTTTAAATAATATAGTTTTTTCAATAGTGAAAATTTTGGACCCTCAATCTTAGAGAAAGTTGAAATTTTTTTTTAGGACCCTGTGCTTTTGCTCCTCTAGCACACCCTTAGAGCCGGCACTGAATGAAGTAGTTGTGCTGAGATAAGTTTTATAAAATAATGTTCTGACGGAATCAAACCCGATCGGTCATCGGTCTTGCGGATTTTAAAAATTTCACAACAACTTTCCTAATGGTCGTAATGAAACATGGGTTTTATGTGACTAGCTGCTGATAATCGCATAGGAGTGACATGAATCAGTTAATTTGATTCGGGTATGGTCGAGACACAACAAATTATTGAGGGTAGAGAAAAGGATTGAAAGCATCAAAGCAAAAGAGTAGTAGACATGTAAGCCAAGACAAGATCCAATTTTGGGGTTAACTGAAGTATGAATGCTGCAAAACGTGAAGTGGTCCTCTTGCTTTATTCTACGTATGTATGTATATTCCTTTTGTATGAATTTCTCACTTCAATGGAATTTTCATCAACCATGCATATATTTCTTTAATGAAACGTCTAAAAAGTCATCAAATCCATATTTTTAGGGGTCTAATTATTCCATCTCCAAAATAAGAAAAAATATACTATAGAAATTGTTCAAACAACTGAACAACTTTTGACATTTATGAGTTTGACCATTTATCTAAAATTTTGGTATGCTCTTATGATTCATGTTTAAAAAGAGAAAATATATATCCATGTGGTCATTACATTCCATAGTGAAATCATGATGTTTGTTGACAGTAACATATTGTTAGTGGTCTTTGAGCTAGTGCAACCTGCCATGACTCACTTTCTCTTACAAAAAATTCTGACATTCTTCCACAAAACATAAAAGTCCAATAAAATTCTACTTTTGGATTAATTTGAAGGAGTTCTCAGTTGTAATTTTTTTTTTTTCATAGAAAACCAAAAGTGCTGTAGAGATAGTGACATCCACTTGAATATTCTTTTTTTTAAAACATTCGTTAATATATATAGTCCTTTTTCAGATATAAAACATCATTATTAATATCTAATTAAGATTGACGAAATTGAAGTTCTCTTTAGATCAAATCAATAGACGAAACCACAATTGAGCAACTTAAAGATTATTGCCCATTCCTCCACTTGCTTTTTTACCATTTAAATTCAGAAATGCTAGAAAAATAAACCATCAGCCTCCATGCAAAACATTATTATATAACAAAGTTGCGCACTTAATTTGTTTTTTTTTTTTTTTTAATCACATTTCTTTACACTCTAAAAGCAAATTCTGAAACTCCACTTTTCTTTTCTCTTCTTCTAGCTAGGAAACTAGTGGATCAAGTTCCATACCGTCATCCAATTCTTTATATATACACACACACACACTCATAAACTTTAACACTTATATTTAAGAAAATAAACTCATGAATTGATTATCATCAATTCTTAACTATGTATTTGTTGTTTCCACTTCAAACCACATGAAGTCATGGAGATTCATCATCACCTCTTCGTCTTTCTCCTCCTCCTCCTCCTCCTCCTTCCCCTATGCTCCTCCCAAGAAAATACCAGAAGCTTGGCCATTGATGTCAATGGTCCAGTCGAAACAAGTACCTCCGAGGTTAGTATGCTAGTCTCTCTCGCTCATCCTAATTAAAATCTAATAATATCAAACTCTTCATAATCTCATTGATTTAGCTAATAATTCTTTATATTGAAGCTCCTTTGTTACGAACTTATAACCTAATGAGTTTATTATATTTATCATCTCATGATTAGCATATATGTATGACTATGTATATATATAGACATATATACATGAAACCATGAAGAACCCTTAAATTCTCTGAATAAATTATTCCTTACATGATGATTAAAGGATATGGATTTTCTGTTCTTCTAGTTCCTGTATAAAATGCGTGCTTGACTGCTTGTTAATTACTATATCAAAAACTCTTAATTGGTATGAAACTCTTATTTTTGGTTTTATTGAACAGAAACTAAATCCAAAACTTGTGTACGAAATCAAAGTGCATGGATTTATGCTTTGGGCATCGATGGGTGTTTTGGTGCCAATTGGTATAATCTCCATCAGATTAATGTCTATCAAAGACCAACCTATAATCACTCTTCGACGACTCTTCTTTCTTCATGTCACTTCTCAGGCAGGTTTCACTTCTTTTATTTTTTTGGCTCTCTTATTTCTATTTTATTTTTTGATATATCAAAGATAAATCAGATTCAACGAACTAAATCATAAGTATGTTGAAAATATTGTATGAGTTGAAAATGAAAATTTAATGGTCGGTGCGAGAAGATGGGTGGATGGAGAGTAAAGCAAAGAAGATGCTTCTCTCTTCATCTAAAGAATAAAGATTGCATCCAACTGACGACTTTTTCATGATTTTTAATTAGTATTCCATTAGTAATTAGTAGGGCCTTTTGGGTTATTCTAGATAGTTAATCACACTGATAATCATGGAAACTTGAAGGCCAAGGTAAAGCGTCTATCTTCTTCTTCTTTTTTAGCTTTAACGTCAATATCTTCTTAACCTTTAATTCTTTCTGACTTTCTCTTTCTCTCATTCTGATACTTAACTAAAAAACCACACCTACTAGTCAAATTCTTGTTACAAAATATAGTTTCCATGATAATTAATAAGAAATGTGGACTATATATTATTGATCAACAAGAATCACTTTTAACTATTGTTATCAATCAACAAGTGGCTCATATTACTTTATCAAACAGATGGTTGCAGTGATACTTGTGACAATAGGGGCAATAATGTCGATTAAAAACTTCAACAATTCCTTCAATAATCATCACCAACAGCTTGGAATTGGACTTTACGCTATTGTATGGTTCCAAGCTCTTCTTGGCTTCCTCCGACCTCCAAGGTACTTCTGTTTCCTCTTTTCTCTTCAGCATTATAAATATAGAGTTTGCACATTAGTTAGACTTAATTGTATGTTATCATGACGAGAACTTCGAAATGGGTCTAGTTTATATTGTTTTGTTTACTATACATTGCAGGGGAGGAAAAGCTAGAAGGAAGTGGTTTATAGGACATTGGATAATAGGAACATCAATTGCTATACTTGGGATAATAAACATCTACACAGGTTTACACGCTTACGCCAAAAAGACATCAACAAGTGCTAAGCTTTGGACCATACTCTTCACGGCACAACTCTCTTCTATTGTCTTGGTCTATCTTTTTCAAGACAAGTGGTCTTATATCCAAAGCCAAACTACATTTAACAGAAATCAATCCGTTGATCATAACAGCAACATATCAACCGCAGAGACTAGCCATGGAGACGAGGTCGAAGAGGCTAAACCCGAGTTAGAGAAATGCTAAAAGCGCCTGTAAGCTATTAGTAATTTAATTTGTTCTTATCTTGAGAGATTGTTTTCCAGGAGACAGAAAAGGTTTCAAAGGCATTTGAATTGATTTGTAGTGGTAATGACTGACTTTTGAGTTTTTTTTTTCTTATTTTGTTATTTTCAATTGAAACATGCTCATAGGCTGTGATTAAGTCCTAACCTAAATTTTAATTGCACTTGTATCAAGATGAAATTAATTTAGTATAAAATTATAAATTAGTACTGGATACAAAGATATAAACTACTATATATGTATACTGTTTTTATTTAAAGACATCCATATATTTATACTAATATATGAAATTAATTTAGTATAATATGATAAATTAGTATATATACAGATATATATGATATCTACAAAGATATAAACTTCCATATATTAGTATTTAAAAAACTTCCACATATAATAAGATCTCTAGATCTCCAGACCATAACTGATTCCAACGAAAATGGAAACTGATCCATCTCCTTTCCTCATTAATAAAGATTCTAACGTTCATTTTACCTATTAAGTACCGTAAAGACAGAAAGAAAATATCTTTAATTTAAGAAAAAAATCTACTTGTAGAGATATTTTCTTAAATTAGAGCCAATATAACATATACCACACAAACACATCATATATATGCCGATATATATATAAAAAAGCCGCCCAAGAAAATAAAAATTACATCACACAATTCTTCTTCTTCACCAAACCAAAAACGTTGACAACTTGTGTGAGTTTTGCAATGATGAGAGGTGCTGCTTCGACCGGCGTAGTAATGGTCATGGTTATAATGATACTTGTGTTGTTAAACCAAACAGAGAGTTTTAGTGTGAATGGTTCATCACAATCACATAGAAAATTTTGTAATATTTATTTAGGAAGTTGGGTCTATGACAAATCTTACCCTCTCTATGATTCCAAGACTTGCCCTTTCATCGAGAGACAGTTTAACTGCAAGTCCAATGGTCGCCCTGACAACGAGTACCTCAAGTATCGGTGGCAACCTTCCGGTTGCAATCTCCCCAGGTGATTCTATCTTTTATTTATGGTATTTATAACGTTTTTCGATAGGTAGATCGATCTAGTGCGCTTGAAGGCATATAACTATATCCTAGGTTAATTGCTATGAGTACCACTAATATTCAGGACGGCTTGGGCATCAACTAGCATTGTATCGTAAAAGTACATTCTCAAAAATGTCTTTAGTATTTTTTGTGGGGGATTAATAGGTTCTTAATTAGGATTTATTATTGGATTCAAAACCCTTTGTATGTCGCATATAAGTTCATATGTAAGAATGTTATAGAATTAAGTAACCGAAGCAGCTGGTACATAAATCCACCACTATAATTTATTGGATCACCACCCCTCCCTAGAATAAAACTATTACCAAGACATAATAAGTTTCAAAATGTTACAAACCCAAGTACCCAACCATTTTGTGGTAAATTATTAAACGTGAATTTTTTTTCCTATGAATGATATAGAAGTGTTAAATTGATTAATGATATATGAATGGTGCAGATTCAACGGCTTAGATTTTCTGGGAAGAATAATGAGAGGGAAGAAATTGATGTTCGTAGGAGATTCACTGAGTCTAAACCAATGGCAATCTCTCACGTGTTTGCTCCACAACGCCGCACCAAACACCAATTCTACAGTCACACGTTCCCCTTCTGGCCTCTCCACCTTCTCATTCCCGGTAACGTTTCTAACTTTATCAAACTCTTTTCCGGTATTGTCCGGTTTAATCTGGTTTAATTCTGGTTCGGTTCGTATTTAAATGCATGCAAATGCAGGCTTACAATTCTTCGATTATGTTTTCAAGAAACGCGTTTCTGGTGGATATAGTCGGAGCCCCACCGAAGCGAGTGATGAAGCTCGACTCCATCTCGAGTGGTTCGTTGTGGAAAACCGCAGATGTTTTGGTCTTCAACTCTTGGCATTGGTGGCTTCACACCGGCCGAAAACAACCGTAAAATCATCTTTATGTTGTCATTTGTCAAACATATCTTAGTATATGGACCTAGTATCTAACTAATGTAATCATTTGGGGTTGCAGATGGGACGCAATTATGTCCGGGAATGTAACGGTTAAAGACATGGACCGGTTAGTGGCATATGAGAAAGCAATGATGACTTGGGCTAAGTGGATTGATCAAAACATTGATCCTTCCAAAACCAAAGTCTTCTTCCAGGGTGTTTCTCCGGACCATGGCCGGTAAGTTTTTTTTTTTTTCATGGCCGGTAAGTTCTTTCTCTATATAACTTTATTTTATTCGATACATACTTTAAATCAACGATAAAAATTAACACGATGGATATATGTTGGATTAGTCTATAAGTTTTGGTTAGAACCAAATAATTTAAAGCTTATAGATTAAAATAATATGAAGTTGATATTGTTAACAATAATGGTACATATAATGCTACAGCGCAAGCGAATGGTCGAAACAAGGTGGCAAAGGCAGTTGCATTGGAGAAACAAAGCCGATTATGGGATCGAAGTACTGGGCGGGACCACACCGAGCGGAGATGGTGGTGGCGAAAGTGATAAAGACGATGAAGAATCCGGCGCGGTTAATGGATGTGACATTGATGTCTCAGCTAAGGAAAGATGGACATCCTTCGGTATACGGGTTTGGCGGTCACAAGATGCCGGATTGTAGCCATTGGTGTCTCTCTGGAGTCCCGGATAGCTGGAACCAGCTCTTGTATTCTGAGTTGTTTCATTCTTAAAATTTTGATGGTTAGAGTCAAAACACCATTCATTATATGATTTATGCATTTATTGACAACCTAAACATGTTTATTTAGATTTTCATTTTCTTTTGTCAACCAAAATGTTTAAATTAGAACAAGATTCTTTGATTGGTCATGTTCAGTTTTTACATGTATGGATTGGATTGGATAAAAAAAATTTTATCTACATTTAAGTACTTAACTAATGCAGAATTAGACTAAAAAAGAATAATAATTCGATTCTTTTGCTTATTATTATGCTCGGTCGCCCAAAAGAAAGGGCCAAGGAAAACAGAAATTGATTTGGTCATAAAAATTGGGCTTTTAGAGTAAAAAACAAACAAACAAACAAAAAAAAACATCTCTCTCTTTCACTTCACGTCTGCGAGCTCCGGATCTCATCGGCGTTTCATCATTCTCCGTCGATCTATCCACCACACGACTCCGTTTTTAGGAATCTGTAGATGTCAATTTGAGAGAAAAGACTGTCTGTCTCCATTACAACACATTCTCCGCAAGAAAGGACAATGGCAGTGGTGGATGTTCACCGGTTCGCAGAGTCAATCACTTGCCATGCTTGGAGTCCTGATCACTCCAGTATGTTTCTGAGATGCTCTTGTTTCTCTCTTCCTTGGCTTTTTTGTTTTTGAATTATTATATGAGGAGGAGGATCTATAGACTATAGTTAGTTTGGCTGGTAAGAAAGATAGATGAGACAACTGAATTGCCTTTATGTTGTTCTTATATATCTTGGTAATCAAATTTCTTCTAAATCCCTTTAGGATTTTCGGGTCAATGTTTTATATGCCTTTATGTCTGTTTGTCGGTGCCTCTTTCTTAAAGAAGCTATCTCGAGCTTAATTGAACTGGTTTATGTCACATTGTTGGAAGATTATGATAGATTCCTCCATATATACTAGTTTATGTTCGACTTAGCATGAGAGTCGTTGAAGATTCCAGAGAGATGCTATGTTACTGTTAGTAACAGTTGGTATCTAGTATTGTACATTAGTTGATGAGCTTTTTTTTAACGGATCAACATAATCTATTGTTACATATGATTTAACCTCTGTCTTTAAGCCTGTAACCATTTATGTACTCTGACATTTGTTTCGTTTTTCTTCCTAGTGGTTGCTCTCTGTCCTAACAATACTGAAGTTCATATCTATAAATCATTATCTCAAGACCAGTGGGAGAGGTTACATGTCCTCCAAAAGGTGAACCTTTCTTTCTTTTTTCTGAAACTTTTGAACCTGCACTCCTTTCCTTTCTCTTCTTGGGAATTCTTTACTTTCATATATTTACTTAATTCTCATTTAACTGATCACTTGTCACTGACAAGTGTTCTACAGACAGCTTGAATTTTCCTTGCAACAACATCATGATTATTGTTTGACTTGTTGCAGCATGACCAAATTGTTTCTGGAATAGACTGGAGCTCAAAATCCAACAAAATCGTCAGTGTTTCTCATGACAGGAACTCGTAAGTTGCAAACTTTGATATACTTAGAGGAAATTGGCCATTTGGGTAACCTTGTACTTCGATTAGTGCTGTGAGAAACTGCAAACCTGATATTCTTAGTTCTTCACTGTTTTAGTTAGTTAAACTGAGTTTAGAATGCTTCTTGAAGGTACGTGTGGAGCATGGAAGGAGGTGAATGGGTACCAACTCTTGTTATTCTTAGACTAAATCGTGCTGCACTTTGTGTCCAATGGAGCCCGAAAGGTAAATGTATCAGATCTATAATTTTCTGAGTTCTCAAGCTTACTTGTCTATGTAATATGTAATGTATTTTTCCTATAATTTCTACAACTTCTAATCTGTGATCCCATATTTTTGCTCAATACCTTTAGAGAACAAGTTCGCTGTTGGAAGTGGTGCTAAAACTGTTTGTATTTGCTATTATGAGCAAGAGAATAACTGGTAATTTCTTCTTCTGGTCCTAGTTCTCATTATTAGTCCTGGATTTTTCCATGGAATGTTGCCTAAAAATGGTGTTGTTGGTCTATGTAATGGTATTAACTTGTGTTATTTACTGGCATGTTATTAGCACCAATTATTTTAATCATCTTGGCATGCTTAACCACGTAATGTGTTGCGGTTTTGGAAAGATCTGGAATATGTGCAATTCTCACAAAGTATATTATTATTAGTTTCCTGTAAAGTTTCCCTATTTTATTAGGCTGACATTGCTTGGCTTTACTGTGTTCAGGTGGGTCAGTAAACTTATCCGGAAAAGGCATGAATCTTCAGTTACATCTGTTGCTTGGCATCCTAATAATGTACGTGCAATTAACACAACCTCCTGTACTTGATGTAGCCAAAATTAATCAGGCTCTCTGCAAATGGTTTCTCTACCAAAATTGTTCTATAAGTTGGCCACCGCATAGAATATAGAGTAGCGAGTACATGATCCCTAAGATAGAATATTAATCTCCACAAACTAGTTAATCTTCTAAATCATTGTTGCTGGTAACTTTTCAAGTTGATGTTCTCTCTGATTGTCTGTTTTGCATTAGATTCTTCTGGCAACGACATCTACAGATGGAAAATGTCGGGTATTTTCAACATTCATCAAAGGAGTTGACACAAAGTATGCTCATTCCTTGAATGTCTATTTCCTAAACATTTTCGCAAAATAATGGGGTAGTTTCTTATTTTTTCTCTCAATGGGCTGATACAGGGATTCAAAAGCAGGCTCACCAGCGGAAACTAAATTTGGGGAGGTTTGATTTGTTTGGCAGGCTTTCCTTCTTTTCGTAAATATCATAATGCTTATGCCGTATAAATGTTGCCTTGCCTCTACTCCCTCATCTAATGTTAGGGAGCTTTTTTCTTTTGTGTATTTGTTGACAGCAAATTCTTCAGCTTGATCTTTCATATTCTTGGGCATTTGGTGTGAAATGGTCTCCAAGTGGAAACACCTTAGCTTATGTAGGTCAGAATATCCTTAAAACTTCAGATGTTTGTCCATTGAGCTCTACTGGAGTTATAAAATGGAACTTCAACTTGGTTGCATAATTTTTACTACACTCTGTCTCACTTCCCTTTTTCTGTAATCTTGTATAGGCCATAGCTCCATGATATACTTTGTTGATGATGTTGGTCCTTCTCCTTTAGCCCAAAGCGTTGCATTCCGAGATTTGCCTCTTCGTGATGTGGGTCAGCATCCACTCTTCTTTTCCTTTTGGAAACTAGTCTTCTCCATGTGTTATATCCTGAATTTATATGCTACTTTCAACTTGCTTTTTCAGGTCCTGTTTATTTCTGAGAAAATGGTGATAGGTGTTGGATATGACAGCAATCCAATGGTATTTGCTGCAGATGATACTGGAATATGGTTTGTAACTCTCAGAAATATCTGCTTAATTTTCTCTTTCTTAGCTGTTTGCGTATAATCAAATCCTTCAATTAATTTATACTCGTTTACAAATTTTTGTTTATGGTCTGTAGGAGCTTTATCAGATACATCGGAGAGAAGAAAGCGGCATCTTCAAATTCCAGTTACAGTTCGCAGGTACATAACAAATTTTATTTCTTGTTTTTGGTGCAATATGTCTGGTTTTAGCCTTTTAGAATAAAATATGAGTGAAATGTATCTTACTCCTGAAGTGTTCCTATAAGATAGTAATCTTTCGGGTTTGTGTAGTTGCTCCTTTTTTCCCTGGGGTTACTACTTTCCACTTGCATTATTTGTACTGTTTTGTCTAACCCATCTTTTTATTATGTTATGTTTTCAGTTTTCCGAAGCATTTGGAAAATTCTACGGTAGTCAATCGAAGTCTGCAACAGCCAGTGATGCTTCTGAATCACGTGGACGCGTTCATGATAACTGCATAAAGTAACTTTTTCTTAAGCTAACTTTACTTTTACCAAATCATTTGCCAGAAGACTGTCTCATTAACTCTTTTACTCGATTCTCCGTTAAGATCCTGACGTGGAAGTTTACCTGAAAATTGCAGTTCCATTGTGCCTCTGAGCAAAGCAGGGAGTCCTAAAGTAATGCGATTCAGCACTTCAGGTCAGTCACTAATGTTAAAATGGGATCAGCCGATTCAATTCTCAAAAAACAAATCAGCAGTTTCATTTACTCGCATATCGGTTTGTTATTTATAGGATTGGATGGAAAAGTAGCCATATGGGATCTGGAGAACATGGAACAAGAACTTGGCAATCAGTTTTAATAAACACACAAATAAAACAAATCTGGATCACAAGCAAGGTTTTACTTAATTTGTATATCAGATTTCTTTTTTGACTAAATGCCAGCCTTTCAACTCTTTTTCCAATTTCGTAATTGTTTCACTTTGTATACTACAATAATAAAAGGCCTTAATTTCTTGGTTTGTGTAAGGTATTAATAAATTTCTTGGCTTCATGATTTGATTCATTTAGTTGGCATCTTGTCATACTTTTTTTTTAAGTATATTAATATTACAATTTCAGCTTTGTGTCGAAAGGAGTCCATACTGAACCAAACACAGTAAACAATTTTGCAAAATTTTCAAGATCTTGAGAAGAAACCTTTGGTCCTCCGAACTATGCCATAGTTACCACAAAACGTATATTCTGGATATCGACAAACATTAATCTTCTCTCAGATGACAGGCAAAACTAATCTTCTTTGAATGTTTCTCACTTATTGCAAATATAACTACTGTCCTCGTCCTAACCAACTTCCAGAGTACCTACCTTTTAAAGCATAAACTAGAGTTGTAACTCAGAAGCAGATATGCAGAGAAACACAGGCTTGGAACGATTGATTATATGTCTCCAAGATCCTTCCTTTTCGTCCCATAAGCAATATAGTTGACACTAATATCATCTGACAATAACCATCTTCCTGTTATTGGGTTGTACACAAATCCAGCCATCTCTTTCACCTGCAATCCATAGTTTCTGAGTTATCATCTCTAGCAAAATCTATCAGATGAACAATCCTTCTTTTCGAGATATTCCCACTTGCCCACATCGAGACATGTGTAATTATGTTTTGTTTCAGTCGGCTTAAGATTACTTATTGAAATTGACATAGTGTTATTTATTGAATGGGGAGGGGTTGGCTTACATCGACTGAAGCACGTTGCAATATCATAGTCAGTTCTTCGGGAGTTACAAAACTTGACCACTGGTGTGTGCCTTTAGGAAGCTGCAAGGCGATTGATTATATAAACAACCAAATGTGTAACCAAGAACACATGAAGTAAGAAATGCTGTTAACAGAAGATAAATAAGGGGTGAAACTGAAGATTACCCAGCGTAGAATGTACTCTGCTCCAACAATGGTTGATGCATATGCTCGCATAGTGCGATTAATTGTAGAAAGTATTGTAGCCCCATTGGGGATGGTCAATGCTGACAACGACTTGCAGAACTCTGCAGGGTTTGCTACATGCTCGATGACCTTCATTGTAGAAAATCAGAAAATTTGCCATATATATGATGATATTATAAGTGAGACATGGAACAGTATAAATATCAGGAAGTTTAACAAAGAGTAAGGGACATGCTGAAGTATAGATGGACCAGCAAAAGGTACCTCTAAAGAGAGAACAGCATCAAACTTCCTTCCTTCATCCGCTAGCATTTCTGCCCAACAAAATATTAGGTCGTATTTAAACATAGGAGAGGTAACAAAGAATCAGCTTCTGTAGAAGAAGATATCATGTAACTTTATTTGATCATCATCTAAGATTAGCAAAAAATACCTGCTGTAGTACATAGGTATTCAATCGTTGAAGTAACTGGATCCATATCCTGCAGAGACATTTTATTGACATAAAAGAAAGAATAGAAGTCAGATAGAGAAGGGGTTTCATGAGCTCTAGTCCTATGCCATAATGTGAAAACATGTTCACTACTGCTCAAACATTCTGAAGGCTGCCAACCTTGACAGGACTGAAATGTAGAGTTCAAATAAATAGGTATTCAAGAAAACTACTTCACCATATGGAGCACACAACTACATGTAACATTACAATACAGCCACTGTATAAGTTATCTGAATGATTAATGATACAATTAAAGTAAGAGACCTTACAGCGTGAAGACGAGCAATTTTGACATTCTTATCAACAGCATCAACTCCTGTGACAGTTGCTCCCATCCGTGCTAGAGGCTTCAAAGAAAAAACAACAAGCCACCGCTCACCAAATCTTCTTTATAACTAACAACAATGTCATTCCAATTGTAACCTCAAACGCTCAACCAACAAGCCCAAAAGGAGAGATTACAAAACTCGAAACTATTACCAACTTTATCTACTTGCTAGACCCTAGACTGGTCTCATACTAGGAAGAACGAAAAAAATCATATGCAAAATAAGGTATGCAGGAACTCATGAAAAAAAAATACCTCAGAAAGTAGTCCGCCACCGCAACCTATATCGATAAATCTCAGTCCTTCAAAAGGCTTAGCAGAACTCGGATCCTTACTGGAAAAAAAAATATTAATCCAACCGAGAAGGATTAGAAGAAACCAAAACTATTCACAAGAAATGCACCTGAAATGCCTGCATAACGTCGAGCGGATGAAAGCCAACCGAGTTGGATTCATTTGATGCAATGGTTTAAAGGGCCCTTCAGAATGCCACCTTCATATAAGAACACCGAGCATAAAAATCATGTGAAAGCCTTCAAGACTCAAGAGTCTATATTTTAAGAATCCATGAATACATTTCTTGAGTCAATCTTAGTAAAATCATCACATCTTCTAAAACATTACCTTGAGTTTACATAGTCTAACCGCTTAGAGACAAGATTCAATTGCATGAATAAAACCCAATTGTTCCAAAACAACGTCAAAGAGAATCAACCTCAACCCAAAATATAAAAACCAAAACTTTGCTCTTTTTTATGTGTTTAAGCATCCAACTTTTGATCATTTCCTAGAATTTAAATTCCTTGTGCATCAAATTAAAAGTCTATCATGCATTATAGCTATGAGACGAACCAGGTATCAGCAATGGCAGAGAATTTGGCAAGTTCATCTTCATTCAAAGATGTTGTTGTTGACGATGTGCTTCGGCTTTTATTAGAAGCTTTGCCTTCATGCGTTTGCATTTTCTGATGCGAAGAGGAAAAAGATGCAGCCGAAGAATCAGTATCTGAAGTCGAGAACAGTCGCTGGTGAAGTAAACACGACGGAGGTATGATTTGGGAACAAGATAAGCGACGAGCAGAGCGAAGAAGCCTTTGTAGTTGATTCATCGGCTTCGACGCCAACATTTTCGAAAGATCAGAGATGGCTGAGACAAAGAGAAAGCGATCAAGATTTTAGGAGACGGCGGTCGGAAGTTACTGACGTCGGGTTCGTCGTCGGCGGAGCGAACGAGCGAAATTGAAGAAGAGAAGTGAATGAGGGCAAAATTGGAATTTGGAATTCTCGAAGATGTAATTTTAATGGGCTACACATTAAACTAAATGGGCCTAAAACTATTGTAAAGCCTATTAAAAATTGAGATTGATGATAATCAGTAACACAATTAGACAAAAAAGAGTTAGTCTATTATTTTGCTACTTTTGATATAAAATTTAGTATAATTTTCATAATTCATCTATAAAATGTTTCATTGTTTCATTTTAAAAATTTTGGTGTAAGGAAATAATTAATAGGATCGCACAAAAGTTCAAAAGAGTAGTTGGATTTGGATATGTTGGAATCAGTTTATTTCACTTTCAGCTTATAGTATTTTTATAACAAAGGTCCCACGATCGAATGAGAAATCTCATTCTTATATACAATCATTATAATTTAAGAGACCCAGGTAGGCTTTCATTAAAGTGTGTAAATATCACATCGGCACATACAAAAACTAATATATCCTGGATACACAAAATATTAGAGAGCAGAGACATTGGCAATAAATCTTATTTGATAATGTGATATGGTGTGTCCACAAAATCTTTCTTCTTAATAGCGATTAGCGATTTAATACAACTGATTAAAAGATTAGCAATCCCCTATTCATGTTGACTGTGTTTGGAAGCGTGAAGAGAAATGCTTTTATTGGGACTTTGGGAGCGTTAATTTTTCTGCGTGACCACTAATGGTTTACTCGATTTAATTTCAGATTTACGGATGGAGGGTGACAAGAATTTCCCCATTTCCTTAATTTTAAAAACACCTTCTGAAACATATTTTTCCTTTTTTTTTTATATTTAAGCAAACATATCTTCTTGTTATAGTAATAAATACACCCGACAAAAGTATCATTTAATAACAAAAACAAAATATTATTTTCGATAAAGTATTGGGAGAACCGGAGATCGACCGAGATCGACGGTTGAGATGATCGCCCAAGATTATGGAAATCATGAAGGATCTAGAAGTTATCTTATCTTAAGTTTAGGAAGTTTAACATTATCTCTAAATATATTATTTACATTTATATTTATCTTGAATTAGGAAATCTCATCTCTATATAAGAGAATGTAATTTATACCTTTAATCTTATGAGAGTCTATTCTAATTCTTCCTAAACACTTTTGTGTTCTTTACTCTCATCAATTTATCATGGTATCAGAGCCTTGATCCTATTCCTATAGATTAAAAAGTTTTGTTTGCTTCCGCGAATCATATAATACTTTTCTATCGATTTTTCAACCTCTTATTTTTGACCTTTCTCCATCGTTTCTTTTCTTTAACGTTGGAGTTTTCTTTCTTGTCTTGCAATTCTGAATGGCAAGCCTTCTCGTAATTCTGTGGAATGTTTACTATTCAAAGAAAAAAAAAAAAAAAAAGTGAAAGATAGATGAAGATGATTGTCGTGACGTTGATATAGTCCGGCGAAGAAGATGAGCACCATGCACGTGTTTGTGTTCTTCTTAATCCACTATTGGTGGCTTATTTTATTGATTTAGCCAATGATTGGCAAATTGATTTTGATTTTGGCTAGCACAATGGCTAGTTTCTTGAAGACCAAGATATTGGTTTATGAACATGGACCTATTGATGGGTTCGTTCGATCTTCGGCGATGATGATGCTTTCTCGCCGCTTAACATCTTTGATTAAACTTCTCCTTTTGATTAAACTACTCGCCCTCGTGAGTTGTTTTTTTTAGTCTCGCCATCGCGAGCTACATCCGAACCTCGCAATCGCGGGTGTTATTTTTATTACTTGAACCCTACGATCGGGTATAAACGTCGATGACCTAACGGCTGGGTTTTGTAGCCGATTTGAACCCTACGATCGGGTATAAACGTCGATGACCTAACGTCTGGGTTTTGTAGCCGATTTGAACCCTACGACCGGGTATAAACGTCGATGATGACCCGACGGCTGGGTATAAAGCCGCTATTCTGAAGATTTGTCCAATCTCACATGTGTTACCACGTATGAG